CCTTGAGTAGCGAAATTGGCCATGACCACAATCCGCACCGAGTTTTGACCGTGACCTGCAAGCCATTTGTCTCAAGTAAAATCAATGTGCCTCAAGGAATACCTGTCATGCGGACCGAATCTAAGCCTCCACTCCCGCCTTAGCCGGCACACTTGCCACCTTAGCCGGCACACTTGCCACCAGGGTAGGCGCGTGTTCGACACTTGTGCCAGTTACTCAATCAAGAGATGGATGGCTTAGGTCCCCAGCTGGGCGTCGGATGCGCTTCATTCAGTCTCCTGGCTGAACATGTTAAGAGTACCCATGGCTCAATGCATTTAACTCTAGCGGTAGTGAGGGGTTTGCGTTGCACACTCAAGGTAGAAGCCGACTTGTGCGCCTGATGCTTTTGTTTTGTCTACAGCTGAGGCATTGTCTTTGCAGAGCTGCTTGGGTGGAGGTGGGTCATGCTACTGACAGGCGCCGGCTTCGCCTGGCTTTAGCCCCTACGGTCACTGACGCCAGGAATCCTTGGAGCGCTGCTCGCCCTGGTGGTTCTTGCGACCATCAAGGCCTCGAATGTTGATTGAAACCATGTGTGGTAGCTGCAAGAATAGCTTTTCGGACCCAGCATTCCGACACACGCGGGCCTCCTTGCTTTGTAAGGGCCCAGTCTGTTTCAGGAGCCGCAGAGAACAGAGTGGTCAGCACCTTGCCCAACCAGCGTGGTTGTGGACGAGGCAGGACCATGCTTAGTAAAATTGTGGCAGATTTAGGGTTTCTCAAAAGCGAGAACCAAAGTCCAAAACGTCGGTTTCCTTCTGGTTTTTCTTAAAGGATCAACCTTTCAGGTTCCTCTTCTGGAGGTTCCCTTTCAAGGTTTTTCCTTCCGGTTTCACCGGGGGCTAAGACATGTCCCAACTCCCAATGAGCCGATCGATTGGCAGGTCTTCGAGAAGTCTCGCGTGGCGCAGTATTTGCTCTGTGCAGTGCTTGGGCCTTGGCTTTGGCTCCGGCTGAAGGATTCAGTGATCGCATTTCGGTTTTGCGACCTCCCACTATCTGTTACTGTGTGACGATCTGATGATCTGCAGCTCAGGTCTGCCAAGATGCTTTCTTCTTATACCTTGATGGCCTTTTTACCCATTTGGTACTCTCGACGGAACTTGCATGGCTGCTTGGCCTGCAACATGGCACTCATACCTGGTGTTGCTTGGCTCCAGAGCGTCCTCACTCTGTTGCAAGGCTACACCAACGATGCATATGCGTTTTGGAATGCGCTGGCTGTGTCGCTGGCTGGACTTTTCTCCGTTTGCATTGGCAGCATCATAGGACTGCAGCTCAGTGCGTTTCATGTTCGCTGCAGATATCGGCGCGGACAACTCTACCTTGATGCTCAGTATATAATCAACAAATCTCTTAAGCTACATGCATCTCTTACCTACTTTAGCTAAAAGCTAAGACCAAGCTCCCGAAGTGAGCCACAGGACAAGCCTTCGGGACGCGCACTCCCTGCTTCGTGGGTCTGCTTGGAGCTGTTGCCTCCGTGCCCCTGATCTTCTTCATGCTTCTCACCTCGCACCTCGGATAGCGCAACCTCCCCAGCCTGACTCGATAGAGACAACATATTTACTATCACCCGTGAGCATGGTGTGTATGCACGGAAACAAAATGCCATGTCATGCCTCTGGATGCTTGTAACGGCATGCCGCTGCTCGTGTACGAAATGGTGCCGCAAGATCCCTGGGAGCACCCTTGGCACTATCGAGATGTACAGAAGTTCTTTCGGGTGCCGTGTCGGGCTATCCTGCACAAAAACAAGGGAGGGTCCGTAGGATTTGGCTTTTCACGGCTCGGAACCCCGGTACTCTGAATTTTTGGGAGGCTTTCCCATTTGCTCTGAGGTACTTCAGGATTTCGCTGATTTGCTGCTTGTCATCGAGATGCGCTGCAATTTGCCTTGCCGGACGGTTTGCATGCCCAGGCTACTTCCTGGTTCTGATGCTTGGTGAAGCATGGCTTGGCCCGTCCATGACCCTGCTTCAACAAGCTGTTCGACGCTCTGTACGAGGCGCCTTGCCAACTGGATCCTTGTGGCACGCCTCGAAGGCTTCGTCGCTTACATGCGACAGATGGACCTGTTCAGGTCAAGCCACTTCAATGCTCTTGGTGATCTCTGCTCTGGCAGGGAATCTGGGCCCAGCATTGGTGGGCATTCTGGATCCAGGCGCTCAGATTTTCAGTGCCTTTAGTTTAGCAGTCGTTTAACATGCTGAGCTGGAATGTGGCTGGGAAGCGCCGTAGTACGGATCTGAACACAGCTCACCCAAACTGAAGGCTATGTGGCACTCATTTAGTTGGGGAGATCCTGTAGCGAGCTTTCCCAGTTGCCAATGCGCATGTTGCTACCCAGGTGGTGTCAACATTCAGATCCACCTGCTATGGATATGCACTGCTGCTCAAGTGTTGGCAGCCCTCAGACGCTTGCCTGTTTCAGAGCCAGTGTTTATGCTGGGGTCCTTTTATGTTTTCCGTCTCTCTCTCTCTCTCTCTCGCTCTGTGTTTCATTGCAACGCACAGGTTGTGATTTAAATTGCATGCAATGTGCATAGGATGTGTGAGCAATGTGATCAAAATCCTTCTGTGCAGCAAGCTAGCCTTTTTTTAATAGTCCAACGTAAGGACATGTGACATACCTGGCATGAAACCAATGATTCACGTGTGATCTCAGTGCTTGTGTTTGTGATCGCGCGACGCGCCCCGTGTGTGTGTGTGTGTGTGTCCTGAGCAGGTATGGCTGGTTGCTTAGGGGCTGCTCATGGAAGCATGTTGAGCACACTCAGCCATGAATCAATGAAGGCTCAGAGCTGTGCGCGATTTGATTGTGTTCTCCGCTGTTTGCGCCATCCGGTCCTCAGTCCTTCATGGTTCTTTCGTGTGCTGGGGACACACACGCGCTGTTCTCTTGCGCGGCTGGGCATTGAGACGGACGCCGACCTTGCACATTTTGTGTCAGACCCAGCAGACCTTGTGGAACTGGCTGTGGATGACCAGGTCCCTGCAGAAATCACGGCTGCCTGGCAAAGGGCTTGCGTCAGCCTTCGCAAAGACCCTGAAGCTCGGCTGTTGCGCGCGCCATGCTGCCTTCCTCTGACTCGAAGCGCAACTTGCTTGCGACAATGAGGTCTTGAGGCACGCCAAGCGTGCCTTGACTTTCTTTTACAGCTTGCTCGGCAGACGGGGTCTGCGAATCCAAAGTCAGAACGGAAATCTAGCAGGAAGAAGGCCTTTGCTTCAGACGGCTTGAAGCTGTTGTAGACGAAAGGCTGATGGCGCACAAGGCCGTGTTCAAGCGATGGGCGATGCTGTGCCCTCAGGGACAGCGCGTTTTGGCAGTTCAGTGCGCCGAGTTTGTCGCAGATATGGCCCAACTGCATCAGTGTCCATGTTTACAAGCCTCAAGTGGCGGCAAGAGGCAGTAGGCATACCGTTGCCCCAACGAGGTCAGTCGCCGGAGGGGGGCGCCTTGTTTGGACGGCGCAAAGTGTGTGAATGTGTGTGTGTGTGTCTGCAGATGTGCGCGTGGCGTGCGTGTGCGTGTGCGCGAGATGAATTCTTCCTGCCGGATTGTGGCGCTGCAGATGAGTTGCCGGACACAGGCCGCCCTTAAAGGCACGTGCCTGCAAGCTCCTCACACGTTTGGCGACTCGGGGCCCGTATTGCTGGTATGTTTGTTTGTTCGCACACAAACAATAAGGGTCAACTTCGGTCGAACGTTTCTTTTGAATCAGACGGGTGATTGCTGGTAAACAGGCGCTGTTTCTGCAGGGCTGTCAACGTGCCTCTGAGCATCCTGCGGTTGGGGTGGTAGTAGTGCGGGGTGCTTATTCGGTCTTTGATTTAAGCGGCCTTTGCTAAAAAATATTCTTGAGTGCGTGCGTATATGCGCGTATGTGTGTGTGAGAGCGTGTATTTGTGCAATGTGTGTGTGTGTTGTTGTGTGTCTCTCTCTCTCTCTCTCCCTTTCTCTCTTTCTTTCTTTCTTTCTTTCTTTCTTTCTTTCTTTCTTTCTTTCTTTCTTTCTTTCAGTCTTTGTTTCATTCCTCATTCTTTCTTCCTTTCTTCCTTCCTTCCTTCCTTCCTTCCTTCCTTCCTTCCTTCCTTCCTTCTTTCTCTTTGTCTCGCTGTCAGAGTCGGTATGTCTAAGTCTCTCTTGCTTGGTGTTTGTGCTTATGTGTATGTATGATATCCTGACAAACGGTTTTCTGGCAGTGCACCAACACTGCATTTGTTTGGCGATGAGGTTTCTACTGGACGGCCCGCGAGATTAGTCTGGATCCCGTGTCTGTCGGACTGGGCTTGGCTCAGGACCGATTCAGCAACTGGGAAGCCGAATTGTTTTTGGAAGCTAATTGGTTTTTGGATTGTTTACATTCAAAAGGATACCAAAAGGGGCTCCAATCTTTTTGCTCCTCACAATTCTCTCACAGGTTTGCGGAGCCCAACACTTCCATTGGGCCTATGATTTACTTCCCCCGAAGCTCAGGGATCAACAATTGTGGGTGGGGCTCGTTTAGCGAGGGGTATCATTTTCGGATTGGCTCCAAATGGTGATGCTTGAATTTGTACCTGTTTTTTGGCAACGCATTGTCAGCACATGCTGTGTTTGTTTTCTTGTGCTGACCCTGCCTCCCAGAAACACGCCCAAACCGAGAGCGTGTCGCGCAGGACAAAGCGCCCTGACCGTCGGGCAATTGTGCCAAGAGCAGCCATGTCGAGCAGTGAAGCCGCAGCCACCAGTGATTGACAGGTTCCCCAAAGGGCTGAACCAGTCCCCTAGCCCTTCGGCTCGCGCACGGCCAGAAAGGAGCCGCACTGCGAAATACGACAGTGGTGGCATGAAATACGGCAACGTTGCCTGACACAGAAGTCATTGGGCCATTTTGAACCAGTCGCAGTCCAGGAACCTTTGCTCATTTGAGGTTGGGGGGACGGGGTGTCATCACCACCGAAACATGCAGGTATGGCTGAAACTGGAGTGGTACTCCTCTGGCCACATCATGGAGCCAGATCCGCAGCATGTTGCCCTGGCTCCATTTTTGGCGCACATTGACGCCTGATTCTCCGCACCCAGGTATTGGTACGACCCTGACACGGGCGAGAGCAAGTGGTCTCTGCCTTCTGTGAAAGCCTTACCATGTTTGCCCGTGGAGGGTTCAACAAACTGCTTTACATGGCTGTGGGTCAAAAACGGGTACCCAAACGAAACCCTGGTACATGGAACCAAGGACGAAAACCAGCTGTCCATTTGCTGGTGGTTTCATTTTGATCCACTGGGCGATTCGGCCCTAGGAGCCGGACCTGAGCTCCGACCTTGCTGGCTTGCAAGAGGCGATCGAGACTCTCGCCTCAGAGGTGAAGGCGACTTTCGTAGGTCCCCAAAACGGCCCCCGTTTCGTGTCAGCGATTTGAAGAAAGCGTAGTGAGAGGGATGATTTGAAGTATAGGGATGATATTCCGGGATGATGTATGATAGCATGATGTATGCGCCTTTACTTCAGTCATGTGAGCTGTGTCGGCAAGGCGCTGTCGGAGCTGATTGACCAGGAGCGGCAGCGCAAGCAGCAAGAGCAGCAGGACGAGCAAGAGCAGCAGCAGCAACGCCACCTGAGCCCGCGTGAGGAGCCGCCTGAGCCCCAGTGAAAGTTGGAAGTGCACATCTCCGCCGCGACTTTCTCCAGGTCCTAAGGTGGTGCAATCAATTGAAACAAGTGAAGTCGTTTGCCTGCATTCGGCGAGGTCTTGTTGGAATCCTGGGTCAAACTACTACTTTCCGTGGGCCCTGTCGGCCTTCTCCGTTGAGGAAAACGGAGTGTGCACATGAACCGAGGTTGCTCGGAACGGCGCGGGGCTGAGGCTTGAGCCGCTGCTCTTGGGACTCGGGATGTGGGCAGTGGACTGCCTGGCTGATCCCTGCAACCCGTCTGTGCCGCGTTCTTTGGACACACACACATTTTCAGGGACCCGAAACGACTTGAAGAATTCCCTCGGGGAGGGTTGGAATGGCAGCTCTGAGGCCAGCGAGTCAAGCTCACAGCCTTTGCTGCGAGGCCCCTTTGCCAATTTGCGCGTTCTGGCGTTGGTGGGTGTCACTTAGAGCGATCTGGCGTTGCTGGGTGTGCAGCGATCTGGTGGAGAGACCTTGGCACTTTGCCAATTGGAGAGGTTCGTAACTGGTCGAGGATCTGCGATTGAATATGTTTTTGCTTGCAGTTGTTAAAACAAGCAGCCAGGTATGGATTTGATGCGTAATTTTTCTGGAGGAGTGTATCACTTGACGCTCAGGGAGCAACGCAGAAGCTGTGCCTTCCAGCTTTTACAGTGCGAGTGCAGGGATCCCAGAGAAGCACCAGATAAGAGTGGCAGTGAAGTTGGGTTTTATTTTGGGCCTCGCTGATATTAGAGATCGAGTGAGGAGAACAAAGGCCAGACCGCAAGCACTGTATCTTCTTTTTCTTTGGCCAGATGTAGAGACCCTTCATTTTTCTTTTTTTGGGGGGGTCCCTCATTTAGAGACACATTTATTTTGCACTTCTTTCCAGATTCCGTGCTTTCAGAGGCCGCTGCGCCGCTTACTTTTCAGCCGGAGAACATCAATGAGGCTCGCTTAAGAGCCGGTGCTAGAGAGTGTTTTGCGCAACCGTATTGACCTTTTCTCCAACAGTTAGACTGAATGGAGAGGTCACCTTTAGAACTAACAGAGGAACCTATAGTGCCTCAAGGGAAAGTGTCATGCGGCTTCGAAGTGAGGATTGCAACCAATGTTCTGAAGTGCAACTCATATTGAGAATCAACTATCTGGAACCCAATGAATATACTATTCCAAGCATACTGCCATTGCTGTGTTTCGCTCCCTCGCTTACCTCTCACCTTTGTGGCCAGGCTGACCACCAAGACAGCAACACCCTTGCGCCAACTAGGCAGGGACTCGTTGAGGATGTACAGCCTGCCGGCCTCACGGCCCCCGCCAGGCGACCTCCGGGGCACTTGCCTTGGGCAACGTTTCAGCAAGGCAAAGTCGATTCGGGCCGGCGGGAGGGGCAGCCGGGCAGCCCTTCGGACGCAGGCACCTTGGCGCTCCTCAGCCTTTGGGGCATCGGTGTTCTTTGGTAGATGCCTCAGCATGGGGTTTGCACAAAGCTGGTGAACGCGGCTTCGAGTGCAGGGCAGAGAGTTGCAGTGCAAAGGTCTTCCTTCCACGTTTTCTTTGGCCTCGACTTAAGCATCCTGCGTTGCCCTCAGCCGAGACACGCTAACGACCGAAGGTGATTCGGCAAAGCGCGCATGGAGCTGCCTTTCAGAGCTTAACTCGATAGCCCTGCTGACAACTTTGATCATGCCTTGTCAACTTGATTGCTTTGCACGAATGGCGATGGCAGCAATGCACACTCTGTTTGGGGGGTGGGGGACGTGGGCTCGCGAAATGGCTGGAATTGCCAGAGCTGCTGACCAGGCCGCAAAGTGGTGGAACATTGGGAGGTACATTGTCCAAATGGGTCTGGGCCGCAATTGATGCAAAGACATGCAGAGGCTCTTGTGCTCAAAGAGCAAACAGCCGCTCAGCGCCAGGTCCCACGTTTCCCCCGCCCCCCAGCGGTGTGTCCAAGGTCATTCGCCCGGACTTGGACCTTCGTCTCGCATACAGAGACTGGCCGCATGGCCACTTTCGACCACAGGCAATCTGAAGCGCGACCAGTGAGTTTGACGGTCAATGAAATGGGTATGGGTCAAACAAACCACCAGGGGACCACAATTGTTTTGCCCTATTGTTGACCCACAGCCAAATATCAGTGCGCCTTTTGTACCAGATAGGAACACTTTGGCAGCCCTCACGGCCTGTTTCCTTGGGTAGAGATGGGTGTCCCAGGGCCTGGCCTGCGGCGTGCAGCTTGGCAGGAGGTGCCGAACTCAGGGTAGGTCACGAATTCGTTGATAAGTTGATTAGCATTTTTGCGTGGCAGCTTTTTTTTTCTTTCCTTTTTTTTTGTTGTTAAAAAACTTGCGCTGACGTCGAATGTTGGAGAGGCTTTTCGTGGCCGAGCGGCTCGCCGTGCACCAGCTTGTGCTTCCCGGAGGACTTTCTGGCCATCGATCTGGGTATGGGTCAAAATTAAGCCACCAGGGGACCGCAGGTTTTAGTCAATGTTTACATTTACCAGGGTTTCATTTTGGGTACCTATTTTCGACCCACGGCCATTTGATGCAGTTTAATTTGCGTAGCTTGTGCACATTCTAAAGGGCCAAAAGGCATTGGTGAGCACATTGCTTCAGTCTGCTCCCTACTGCGCACACACGAAAAGGCGCGCACGTGACAGAGCACTGCCAGGACTACCTCGTATCTTCTCAGAGCCTTCATCAGAGGAGTGCACACGAGCGTGGCCAATTTTTTTTTGCCTGTTTGGCTCTATCAGATCTTTGAGCCTGATTTCATTGAATTCCAGTCTCCGGCCAGGAAGTCTGGCATCCGGCAGTGCAGCAGTGTCTCCAATCGGTTTGGACCTCGGTTTGGAATGGGCCAGATGGCGTAAGAAAATAGGATGCTTTTGCTTGCGGAGAATTCGACCCTTGCCGGCACCTTCAGACGTTCGTCGGGGCTTCTTGGAGGGTCCCCTGGAAAGGTCCCCTTTCCAGGTTATGGAAGCCAGCACAAAACCACCATTCACAGCATGTCCCCAGATTTTGACCCAACCAAATAAAAAGTCCCGAAAAGTGTCCCGTGGTTTGCCCCAAATGTTCCCATGCCTGCATAGTCTGGGCGCAAGCGTTTGGAGATTCTCCATTCCCATAAACCGCCACTACAGCTCGGAGGTGCGAAACAATCCCTTCATTTCCAACCCTCGAGCAGTTTTGGATCAGAGTAGATGATCACCTGCGCTACGCCCTGGACGACCTTGCTCGAAGGTTTGTCCTCCTTGCAGCTTTGCGCAATGCATCTTGCGCTGGAAGCAGCTTTGCGCATGCGAACGGAATCTCGGGGTTGCGATTCCAGGGAAGGGGCTGAAGCCACCTGAGCGTCGCGAGGCCTTAGCCTTCCAGGTGGAAGGCATCCGAAGCATCACGCTGCAGTGCCGGGACACCTGCTTCCTGGTGCCCAGCATATTTGAGTCAGTGCCATGCGGAGCTGTCGTTGAGCAAGTCGGTTGCCTCCTGATCGGAAATCTGCGTAGCCTGCCCGAAGGCTTGCCCTGGGTGGGGGCAAGCAGGACAAGGTGTCAGAACTAGGAACCCCGTGAGAATGGCTTCAAATGAAAGGGAAGAAAACAACATTCATTTAGGTGTGCCTTTTTGAGGGTACCCCCCACTAAACAAAACAGGAAAAGAGAGGAGAATGGTGGGTGTCCTGTTGCTTTCCCTTTAAACCAACCAAAAGGGGGTACCCTCGAAAAAAAAACGACACCCCTTTGGAGCTGCCCCTTTTGATACATGCCCGATTCATGGCCGACCTCTTGAACACCCGTCCAAAGTGCCAGGTGCTCCTCGGCAGTGGTGGCAAGTCCCTGCTGAGTTGTCCGCTCCGCCCTTTGGCAGATTTAGCTTTGCCTTCGCCTCGAGGGACTTTGTAAACCTTTCGAGGAACCTGCCAAGGCTCAAATGGCTGTGGGTCAAAACCAATGGCACCGTTTTGGGGCAGGTGCACCACCCATTTTAGTCTATTTTAGTGGGGATTGGGATGTTCACTGGGGGTACGGGATTTTGACCCAAGGCTCAAATGGGTCGCTGTTTAAGAATGACTTGCAGTGTTGGAAGAAGTGCGAGCGCAGCATCAGCGATGAGCTGAGAGTGCAACATTTGACCAAGCATGGACACCGCGAGAGTGTTGTGGAAACAGCTAGCTAGATGTGCAGGCAGTTGTTGGATTTCAGTCTACTTACCCCCCTTCGAGCAGTTGAAACTTTTGGAGAAAGACAGAGATGCAAGGATGGTCCGCACTGTATTCTCGGCTTCGACGGAACGCATGTTTTCTCCTCATAGGAGTTGGTTCACAGTCGCTTGAGCCAAGGTTCCGGCAATGCTACCATTACGGAGCTCTTTGGGGGCGTGACTCCAAGCAAGACGGCTGAGTTGTTTTGTAAGCAACTCGGAGTGTTCACCAAGCTTCTCACATCCAGCACACTATTGAGACCCAATCATCTTGAGTTCATCAGAGGTATGAGCCTTGTTGCCCCTAGAGCGCACTAACAGCAAATTGACTTCTTGGGATCACTGCAAGACCAATTGGTTGGCTTGAGTCAGCCACAAGGCCCGTGGCAAGCTGTGGCAGCCACTGTTCGCAGCTTAGTTCAAGCTTTGGTCTGGCCCGGTACTGGGTGCCCTCTTGCTACCGCTGATTTGCCAAGTCAAGCGTGGGAACGCGTACTTCCCTTGCTTGCATGCTTGGAGAATCGGACCCCGATTTTGCAAGCCAAGGCACCCCAGCGGCAGGAGTCCGGGCTTTGGGCGAAGGCGCGTAAGGTGCGCCCAACGCGGCAAGCTTGCCATCCGCAAGCCGTGCGAAGCTGTTGCCAAGCTTGCCCCACCTTTTTCACGGGGAGCAAACTTCACGCTAGGAGCCAGGGGTCCTAGGGTAGAGGCACATTCTGTCTTCCCACGTTAGCCTCCTTTGAAGGCGTCTGTGGCATGCCTGCGTGTGACGGCTCAGACTTGCTTCAGCACATGGCTCACTTCATAAGCATGATCCGATGCAAAGCGAAACTGGGCATGTCGGTACGGGTTTGAAGCAGCTCTACGCGTGTGCCGATTGAAGCAGACACCTCAACGCGGTCGGAGTTGGAGAATTCCTTCGGCTCGCCACGCGTCACTGCCTGCATGGCGCCTGAATTGGCCGCCCGGCTGCATTCAACATGGCCGGATATGGCAGGCAGCAATCAATGCGTTGTTTGTCCCGTGCCCCACGCGCGGGTTGCTCCAAAACAAGCTGTGATTTCTGAAGAGTGCCTTTCTCCTCGCAATGTCTATCATCTTTCTGGCCTCGCTGTTGGCACGCAAGGATTTGGAGGCCGACACGGAGACGGCACCCTTGAAGGCGAGGGCAAAGACATGCAGCACATATATCGCCTGTCACACATCAGCACGCCATGGCCAGATTGCTGATGTTCAGAAGCTGCTGGCAGAGTATGACAAGCCAACAGCTCGGAAAACCTGAGTGCCTCTAGGGCACCAACTCGCTTCATTTCATGGGGACATTCAAAGCTGTTTCCAATGTGTCTTATGAGCTAAGGCGCCTTCAGAAGATAGAACTCTGGCAGCAGACCGAGGCAAGCACGGAATTCTTGCTCCTGTGTTTTTTCGCGCGAGCTGCAGGAGACCCCTCGCACAGAATCCAAGAGGTTCCTTGGTGGTCGCAGCCTTAAGCTTGCGTCGGCCTCTGGCTTGTGATAGTATGGAGGTATTTGCCAAGGCTTTTCCCAGGTTGAAAGGAATTGAACGGACCAGCCTGTGATTTCGTTTGACTTGCTTTCAGATCCTTCTTGTTTAGGTCAAGGTCAAAACAATCGAGGCGCTTTCCGAGCGTGAGCCAGTGCGGGGGTATGACTGAAAGTCAGAAAATGATTGAATGGCCTGTTTGGGGGGTGCAGTACTTATCCTTTACCTAGACTTGGAATGACACCGGTCTTTGTGCATCCAAGCTCTGCATATGCAGCTTGGTTGATGAATTTAGCTGAGGCAAGCTATGCAAACCGCTCATGTCAACAAGACCGATATGTTTTTCCTCTGAGCTGCTCCTCAATTCATGGGGGCGTTTCCCTCGCATTCGGCCAGGGGAAGCTCCTCTTTTTCCACCTCTTTCTCCGAAGAGGACAGCTGGATTGCAGAAATTTGATTGTACCGGACGGGTCCCACTGGGTCCTGCCCAGTTCATTCTGCGAGCGTTTCGAGCTTCTTTTTCTTGGAGCTTCAGTCTCGAGACCCGGTCTCGGGTGGCTTCGGCCTTGCCATTCTTTCGCGGATGGCAGGGACAAGCGCCAAGATGTTTGGAGGAGCTGGGTGCCTGGCCCACAACGCAGTGGCAGTCATTTGGACGCAGAGGAGCCAACGCCTGAGATGAGCATAGGGAGATGAAGGTTACAGAGAATTCCAACTGATGGGTGCCTTCACCGCCAATGAATGACATTCCTTAGCTTTTGATGACTCAGATGGAGTCACTGCATCTCTCCCATTGCGCGTGTTGGCAGCAAGCGGTCCCAAGGCAAGCTGAAGAGATGGACGTGCAGAGCCCAGACGGGCTGGGAAGACCAGGAAACAAGACCAGGACCTAATGGCCTTGCGTACCATAGGTATATTCCTTGGTTTGTTGCCTTTGCCTTACTTAGTGCACTTAATTTTCTTTCAGGTACTTGAAGGATGTTGTGAAAGAGTGCTTGGCGCGCTCCATGTTAGACTCGTTCTTGGTTTGTTACCGCTTTGCGAAGTTGTAGGCTTCACTTCTCTGACTCAGGGAAGCCATCCCTTCAGCCGAATGTGGATGAACTCCAATTTGCCACGGGCTCGGCAGTTTGCATCCATTCGTCAGAAGGAGCAGATAGCATCGGACATGAGAGAGCCATGGTTCAAAGAAGTCCGCGCAAAGACTTTCCAGAGTCCAGAGCTGAACCTTGTTGATGTCAGGACCAAGAAAGGAATGTTTGACCAGGACACGACATGTGTCCGCATTGTGTGGCAATTTGGACGGACATCCGTGCAATGTGTCAAAACCCGTTGTCTCTTTCTGGCACCAGCAGGATTTGCTGCAGTCGATCTATGACAAGTCAAACAACCGCGTCATGCTCTCAATCAGACTCTCAAGAGGACTGCCACTTCTGCCCAACCTCAAGGGAAAATGAGGCATTTGCCCTTTATGTAGTGGCGAGATGCGGGTCAAATACCGGTGGGCAACATCTCTCTCTCACAGAGCTTACTACCCTTTGGTTCAGAAGCCAGGTGGCACTGGCTCAACAGTGCTTGAATTCCCAGGTCAGGGGCAAAGCTGCAGTCTTTGGAGGTGGCCTCATGGGAATACTGCCCAGCCCTCAAATTGCAGAGCACCGGGCGCTGGCTGACACAAAAAATGTGTCAAAACGAGGGAGCTCTCCTCATTGCTTGCTTTACAAACAGCCAGGGCCAAAGGCCCTTTCAACACGTTTTAAGATTGCTTGGAGAGGATAAATTTGAAGAAGCTAGGAGCTGCATGTGTCCAAGCCTCACCACACTTGAAATGACTCCTAAAAAGCATCAAACTTGATGTGATTTGATGCATTTCCCCAAAAACGGGCTTTCACAGGCAAGCAGGCAGGCAGGCAGGCAGGCAGGCAGGCAGGCAGGCAAGCAAGCAAGCAAGCAAGCAAGCAAGCAAGCAAAGAAACAAACAAACAAGCAAACAAACAAATAAGAAAACAAGCAGCTATCACTCGCAAGCAATTCCACAGACTCGGCATCTTCGGGTCAGGTCTATGCCCTTCGGCCCCATCGGCATGGCGGCTGGGGCCTTCTTTGGCGCCTTTGCCGGGCACCCGAGAGAGACCCTTCCCACAAACATGGCACCTGTGGGAGGGTACCTGGATCAGTTTCCTCTTGGAGGGACTCCCTGTGAGGTGCCATGTTAGTGGGAGGGAGGGTATCTTTTTTTTTTTTTAATTGTTGTTGTTTCTTATATATATATATACACATGAATTTAATAGCGAACGCGTAGACGATGGCTTGGCAAGAGGGATTATTGTCAACCAACAGTTTTTTAGGGAGACGAGCAACATTCTCATGCGCAATATCATGGTTGTGGTCATCCAACAGGCTGTAACAAACTGATGCCAGAGGTCGGGATGCTCGTCGGGTCACGGCCCGAGCTTCGACACAGCGCCTACATGAAAGAACACCTTGACACTCCGCTTCCTGAAGAGGCTTTGTGGTACCGTGTGTTCAGCTTTGATTTCTTCCGGCATTCCTGAGCCAGAGGGCTCGTCTCATGCCGTCCGAAGCGAGCGAGGACCTGCCTGGACCGGCGCCGGATGAAGCGGAATATTCAGCAGTCAGAGATCGAGACACGACGGCTCAAGAGCCTTGCCTTGGGCCCGAGATTTCGGCACCGTCTGACCGGGAGCCGAAAAAGTCAAACGTCAAGGTAACGAAGAGATACCCTTCCGGGAAGTTGAAAGACGAAGCATGCCAGCCATTTGGAGTGCCCGATTTTGATAGACTGGAAGTACTTGTCTTGATTTTAGACTGGGTATCCACTTGTTCTTTCTGAGGTGCGCTGGTCTGCGGAGCGCTTTTCAGATGAAAACGATCCGGTTTCTGCAGTGCAACATTTGGAAATGGAGCGGAGCTGAGAGGGACATGAGCATCAGTCGATATTCACCACGTTGTACCGCGGTAGAAGGGATAACATGAGGTACGATAGTTTTTGATCTTGGCTTCTACAAAAATATGGAAGAGCAGAGATTGCTGCTAAGCCTGGAGCCAACTGAAGGTTGTGCTTGAGTTCAAGCACATTGCAGACATTGCTTCGGCATCGCAACACGCGCTGGCACCTCAGCACCCATGCGACCATGGCGGCTGGAATCATGACTCGAAGGCGTCACTACGCGGCTAAGGCGTCGTACTCTCAAAGTGCTGGACTCTTGGGCCGCAAGACGCAGCATGATGCGGCTGCTGTGGGTCGCGGCCTTGGTTTTGTCGAGACAAAGATCTTGCACATGCGGTTTGAAGGTTAAAAACGCCCATGAGAGGATCATGAAGTGGAAGGGATCCTTGTCAGTGTGACCTTGTGGCCTTGTGCTGAAAGCATGGGCGTTTCTTGGCTCTTTGGATAGTTGTTTAGTTGAAGGCCTGGGGTCGCTTGTGTGGATGGATTACTGAGACCGCTTGGATCATTCTCGGGTTGCTTTGGCTGGCTGTGATCGCTTCGCAGGAACTGTTGGAATCGATCGCACCGCTTGGGATGTGGGACCCAGGCTTACATGGACAACATCCTCATCAACTGGAAGCATTTGACGCAGACCGACTTCCTCCGAAGCATGTTGCAGACCCAGTAGCGCAAAGCTGATGCTCATTTTTAAATTTGGGATTGCTGCAAACTGTAGATGTTATTTCACTTCGACAAGCGAGCATGCAAATGCACACACACACACACAAGCACCCACCGACCCGCCCGCTAACCAGCGCCCACCCACCCACTCACGCACTCACAAACGCGTGCAAGTACATGTGCCCACTTCGTCCGTTTCAACCTGGCTTAAGCATGGCGAGGATGATTGGACACAGGACTGTGGCAGATTGAGTAATTGACACTTTTCATTGGCTAGGCAATGGTTGGTACCAGTAAGCAACAAGAAACATGGAATATGTTTGTGCGCCGTGTCAACTTGACGCTGGAGTTGTAAAACGAGGCGTGACATCTCAAAGGTCGACTGTGTTCCAAAGAGCCAAAGGGAGCCACTCACCCGAAATATTCCCATTAGACACGCTCGGCTGCCATGGCGACACCCAAAAGTCGCGGAAACCAGGACTGCCTCACGCCGGTCCTGGGTGTCATGGTCGACGGTTTGTTTGGGTCGTAGTGGTCATTCTCTCAAACGTTGTTTGATGAGCACCAGAAGGGTTCGCTGGAGGAAGCAACTCATTTTTCCGGAATCCACCACGACCTCAGGGAGTCGCACTGTAGCACATGCCGGGCACGAGAGACCGAGCGATCAAGGGTTTGGGCCATTGGAGTCAAATGGGGGCTGTTGCCAGGTCATGTCCTACGGCTCGAGCCGCGATGCCTACAACC